CGAAGAGTTCAAGAATATGTATCTGGGTCTGAAGCAAGACTTGGCCCGACGGCGGAGGTGGTCTGCAGGCAACGGAGATTTCACTTACAAGGAAGTCGTGGATTTGCCCAAGTTGGTTGATTGGAGAAAGAAAGGTGCGGAAGTTGCTGGGCGTTTTCGACAGTGGCGGCAGTGGAAGGCATAAACCAGATTGTCACTGGAAACTTGACGGAGTTGTCGGAACAAGAGCTGATCGATTGTGATACCACGTACAACAATGGGTGCAATGGAGGTCTCATGGATTATGCATTTTCCTTCATTGTTTCCCGTGGTGGGCTTCACAAGGAGGAAGACTACCCCTATATCATGGAGGAAGGAACTTGTGAGATGAGAAAGGTATGTATGCACAAACAAAGCCCAAGCCCATACAACCGAAACCCACAATTGATTTGGGCTTAGGCCCATATGTTGTATAGCCATTTTAATTTTCTTCATTCTCCCTTTTTATTTATTTATTTTTTATTTATTTTTATTTTTATGTAGGATGAATATGAGATGTTCACTATAAGTGGGTTTAGAGATGTGCCTGCGAACAATAAGCGAGCTTGTTGAAGGCATTGGCAAATCAACCTGTAAGCGTGGCCATTGAGGCTCCCGGAAGAGACTTCCAATTTTACAGCGGGGTAAGTAAATGAATTGAGCTCGAGTTGTCGTTAAGAACTCCATTCTTCTACATATTATAATTGGCGTGACATGTTTTAATAGGGTGTGTTTGATGGGCATTGTGGAAGTGAACTGGATCATGGAGTTGCCGCCGTTGGGTATGGTTCAACCAAGGGTTTGGACTACATCATTGTGAAGAATTCTTGGGGACCCAAATGGGGAGACGAGGGTTACATAAGGATAAAGAGGAATACAGGAAACCTGAAGGTCTATGTGGTATCAAAAGTATGGCTTCTTATCCTATCAAAAAAATGTGAACTGAAATTACATTCTTGTGATTGTTATTACCGTTTTAATCTTCTAATTTTCGTTTGTACTTTGAATCCAAGGATTTTGCCATATATTTCTACTCCTGTTTCTAGTTTGAATATAAATGGATCATGAAATTTTATATCTTATAAATTTAAAAGATATGTACTTTATTAATTGAATTAAAAGTTTACTAAAAAAAGTGTAGATTCATATTTTAGTAGCTCATAAACTTTTTATCAACTTTAATTTTACAAAAACAACAAATCTGAATCAATTCAAGGTTCAAACTTTATTTTTTTTTGTTGATATCAAAAAGTTTTCATTACAAAAAAAAAAAAAAAGTTCAAACTTTTTTTTCTTAAAGGAAAAAATTTCTCTCGTATTTTAGTATAGTACTAGAACTCAAGGTGCGCTTTATGCACTTTGTGTATCAATGCCACTGCATATCTAACACCAGTAGTGCTAATTAGGATAAG